AATAGGAAAAATCATTCTTACCATTGAATTTTTTAATCTCATATTTTCTCACTTTAACTGTTTTACTTGTAGATGTCATTCTCCGCTTATTTTAATAAACCGCTTTTCTCATGAATTCTAATAAATACCTTGTGTGCACCACATAAAATATCCAAAACACCACACCAAATCAGAAGTTTTACCACCGCCAATCTGATCAAGGGGCTCTCATACCAATTGTTAGGACGAAGAGACATGCCCTCACACCGCAGAAGCGATATAACCCGAAAGAAAGCTCTGACTTTTGTTTTCACAAAAGCTCAAGTCAACATTTATATTCTCGTTTCACAAAGAAAACAAGAACAGAAGTAACATATCTCAACAATGTGAGATATACACTCTTCTCAATATCAGATCTAGGTCTGAATATCGAGGAAACCAACAAGCAATAACAAACACCCAGAAAACAGTAAAGACACGAGATTTACGTGGTTCGGAAAACTTGCCTACGTCTGTGGACGGGGATGAAGGGAGATTTCACAATGAAGGAGAACATCGACGACTTGTACAACCCACAAGCTCGTCCCAAAGAAGAAGATTTGATTTTTACCCAAAAAATTGACCTCTCTCTTGTAAAATCTCTTCAAAGCTCTCTCCTTTTACCTCTCTTATCTCTCTTCAAGATCTCTCCTTCTCAGATCTAAATCTCTGGAAATCTTCTCAAAAACAGTCGGCAAACATCTTCTCTAAAAAAATCCTAAAAGAGGACGTTCATATGTATACGGAAATCCGAATTGGGCCTTAAAAACCGCATGTGGCCTCAAGTCAGAGACGTGCGAGACAGGTTAACCCGTCTCGCACGTGTGCCGTCTCGCGTGGGCTGTGGGCCGTTCACAAAAGGAAATAAAGAAATCCATGGTTCAATACAAAATAGACAATAGAGAGGTGATTATGGGGGCCTTATATGCTAAACAATGAGACATTGAGACTACATGACTTCTACAAACTAGAAATGGATGCGCTTCCTTCAAAATAGAATTTGTTATATATAGGAGAGATTCATGTAGAGAAATAAAGGAGTGCATATATAAACCCGAATCTCTATGTATAGAAATAAAATCTAGGTTTCTTTCTCTGGTAATCATATCCAAATTATGGTTGATCCTCATTCGTTCTCTCTTATCAAATTCTAGATCATTGCCAGGGTAAGGTTGATTGCTTTCCTTTTCTATTGATTGTATACAAAGCACTAAGAAATATGGTTAATTTAGAATTTAATCATTGGTAATTTTATAGTAACGACGATTACTGATTAGTCCAGATTCATTTAATGATTCAGCATTCATTCTCTCTTATATACCATTTCAGCTGCTTATGTAGGAGGAAAGGCAATTTTGGGATGAAATTGATTAATATTGCATTAACTATTTGTGAAAACAAGTAGATATCAAGATGTATGTGTTGTATAGCAACAAGGGTTGAGATCACTGTAATTGCAACTAACCAAAGTTTAGTATCTAGAGCTGAGGAATTTTCACACAAAAAAAAAATGAAAATAATAGTCTAATATTAGAGTCAAACATCTAGATGTCCTTGAAATAAAATAAACTTAGCAACTAGTATCTGTAGTTATTTTATTGAAGGTTTACATATGAAAATACAGACTAAAACCTAGTAATATAATCCAAAGAAAATGAATCCAGTATGTTTATTAACCTCAGCATGGCATCTGCTGATTTTTTTTTTCCCCACGTGGTGTGCTTGCCTGATGAATTCCAGTGTGCATTTTGTTTTGTATTTTAAGAATGATTATATGCTACAATGAAAACTGATGTCTACCCAGAAGGAAAATAATTCTCTTGCATCAGGAAATTATAAGAAACCGATAAATATAACTTCAACAGGTTTCAAACAAACACGTGCTCATGCATACACAGATGTTGACCTCTGGAAATTTAAATGTGCCAACTTAATTAGCACTATCTTTGTGCAATTTTTATGCAATCAAGCAAAGTTAATACCTTGATGCATACTTTTTGCTATTTGTCATTTGCAGTACAGAAGATAATAGAAAATAAAATGTATTAGTTCCTTTGTTATTACATATAATCCTTGCATGTATTTGGCACTTGACATGTGTCTGGTACAAGTATGCAGATCTTATCTGAATGGTCACGTCTATAATCCTATAAATTTATATTGCAAGGGGTTGACCCCTTGTAAGCAAATCTTCTTCATCATCATCAAAAAAGAAGAAGAACAAACATTAAAATGGAAGATTTTTTTTATTTATTATAAATAAAAAATTTGTAATTTAAAAGGCATTCTCAATTAAGAATGACCCTCCTTTTCAAAAAGGAGTTTATAAAGTTTTTCGCATCTTCAATCCCTCACTTTACTCCTCTATTTATATCCTACCGCCTTCAATCCCAGCCCTTGGATCCGCTAGAATTTTAGTAGAATAAAAATCAATCATTGATCGATTCTATTACATTGTAATCGATGGGATCATAGATTAGTTTGTAATAGAATTATAACAAACTATGTTGAGTTTTTTGACTCCGTCTTCTTTGGACTTTTGGATTTCTTATAGCTTTAATGGAGTCTTGAAAAATGAGAAGAATTATTCCTGAGGGTATAAAAGGATAATAAAATATAATGATAAAAAAATAGATATTGAGGGTATAAAAGGATAATAAAATATAATGATAAAAAATATCAACTCCACTGTTCATGACATTAAATGTGCACCAAATGAATATTTGTCCTTGAATTATTAGATTTCAGGATCTACGAATAGATCCAATAATTGACATTCTTTTGATGCACATTGAATACAGCTTGAGCTTGAGACACTTGTGAAGATTAATAACAAGAAAACTTTGATTGCTATTGGATTTTGATCTTGGAAGTTGATTAGTGTGAGTTAAACGAGCTTCAGAGTCTGTGGACTTTTTTTATAGGGTTAGTGGGCATGTGGGTATTTATGACACACATTATTAGTGACTCAGCAAAGGCTAGGTTGATCTGAGCTAGAGTAACTTTTCCCATTTCACCACTAATAAAGGAACTGTTTGGATGTAACATGTAAAATTTTGGGTATTTATGACACACTTAAGGTTTTTTTTAGTAAAAAGTCTGACATAAAAATAGCTTTCTGGCCAATTGCAACCATTTTGGCTAGCATTCTCTGGTCCATGACACATCATCAAAGGTGATGCCACATCAGCATATTACCATGGGCCTAGCATTGCATTCAAACAAGAGCTTTACTACAGGGACCCAAAATATGGGACCAATAGAGGGGACAAGTGAGGTGTCCCCCTCCTATTGGATAATAAGTTGACCATCATTAATGATAGACAACTCATTATCCAATAAGAGGGGGACATCTTACTTGTCCCATCTATTGGTCCCATATTTTGGGTCCTTAAAGAATTTTTCTTCAAACAACGTAGACGAGAGAAAGCTGATATGTTTGATCACTTCTCGTTGCTTTCTCCCAAAAAAGGGCATCCAAACATCCCTTAAAAAAAGAGCAACAATAAAATCACTCACGCAAAATACTAGTTCTCCTTTATATTTCTTTGGAATGATAGACCCAAAGCCTGACTCATGATCTTTTTTTTTATTAATTTTTAACTTTTATTTTTTAAATAATTATTTTGCTTGTCAAACTTGATCTAAAATTCAGCACGAATTGTGTGTTTGGCAACTCATTAAGAGCGGAACAAGCTTTTAGTTTTGGAGTGTTTTTGTTGAGCGGCGAAAAGCCGAATCATAAATGTCTAGTATGTTTTAGTTCAATTCCTAGCCTCTAAATTGATTTAGGGCCAATTTATTATTACTGGAGCTTATAATAAGCTGCTTGTAAAAGTAACTTATAGAAACAACTTGTACAAGCTATTAAAAATAGCTGTTTGATAATTAAATATTAAAAACTGTTTAAAAAATAGTTAAGGTTTTTATAGATTTGTGCTTGGTGATCATTGTTAAAAGGTAAAAGATATATAAAGTAAAAAAGCAAAATCTGCTTTTTAAAAGCAACTTCAAATTGCTTCTAAAAGCATTATTTTTAAAGTAGAAATAAAATTAAGAAGTTACCAAAAAAGTTTTCGCTAAACACCATTATTAGTTGCGTTTTGAAAAAATAAACATAAATATAAAAAAATAATATTAAACTGACCCTTAGTTGTTGACCACGAGGAAATTGGTTCACAATTATACCAGCTCTGAACATAACCAGGCCTGGGCTTGTTTGGCAATCTTTTAAAGCTGGGTCAAGGCTAAAACTAGCATAGTTTTAGATGCTTTTTTGTTTGGCAAAAACTTGGGTCAATGTTGTCCAAGTTTTTGTAGGCCAAAAAAAACTCATTAAACTAGTTTTAGTTTAGACCACCCCTGGTCCAAACTAAAATCAATTTATAATAAAACTGAAGCAAGACTAATCCTAACATAGTTTTTAACAGATTGCCAAACACATCCCAATTTTTACGTATTAAGTGTGATCCGGTTCTGAGCTGTCACGCGCAAACCAATGGAAAATCTGGGCCAAAAAAGTCCTTGGGCCCAGTACCACGACCAAGTGCGATTGTCAGTTTTTCCCTATATTAGGCTAACGGGCCTAAACAGTTTTTTTGCTACGGCCCAGTAATAATGGACCTACTTGTTATCATTAGTTGGATAATAGAATGGGCATTATAATCATGCGGTTAACACTTATTTTTTTCTTTCCCCATTTTGGGGCCGAATTATCAAGACATCGCTTTGGAAAAAAATTAAACTTGGCCCATATTCAGACATAAAAATTGTACACTGTATTCTCTAAAATAGCGCAAAAAATAAAAAGGAGTAAAAGTTATAGCTTCATATTTTATAAATTTTTAGCAATAAAATTCGTGTACTGTAGTTTCAAAATAGAAAAGAGTAAAAATTCATCACAATAGTATTCCATATTTTACTCAATTTTGATGTTGGGCCCGTGGCCCATACCATGTTAATGGATGACGATGAAGGGCCCACAATGATAGAGGGGCATAACTCAAGCTGGCTTAGAGAGAGAGAGAGAGAGAGAGAGAGAGGAGCAATGGCTTTATGTGAGTAATCTCTCTCTCGTTTCTTTTAAAACTTTTATCAAAAACATTAGATGCCCTGTTTTTATTTCGCTGATCATTCTGTGTTCTGTGTTTCTCCATTACGTAGGTTTTTTACTAAGTTTTTTTTCCCCTGCTCAAGAGCCATAAATTTATGATTTTTTTCGCATTACTATTGGGTTCCGGTTGCGACCCAGTTCTTAATTTTGGCGAATTTTGGTTCCTCTTGTAACGGGGATTAATGGGTTGTTCCCTTTTGAGTCCAATTTCATGTTTACCGCATAATTTTGGGAAATTACAATTTTTGTCTTTTGAATTTGAGGAAAATATTGAGTGTAAAAATTGGTATTTATGAAGAAAATCTTAACGCTGTGTTTATTGTTTTGGCACCCATAGGAGAAATAATTAAGAATGAAAATAAACAAAAGACATATCCTCGTGACTTGGAGCGATGAAGAAATTTTGTTATTTGCAAGTGAATCATCTGCTCCTTTCCAAACCAAGAGAGGTAATGAGAGACTATTCAGCGGGGAAAAATAAACAATAAAATAGAAAAAAAATGTTTCATGCAATTGGCATGTTCTCTTTTTGGATTATAAGGTAAGGGGATGACAGAAGTGTTGGGGACTTTCAGAAATTAAGTTGTCTCGTTATATTTCACCTTTTTGCTATTGTTTGTCGAAAATGAATTTTGTACTGATACATGGATTAAAAACTAATTTCTTCTGAAAATGATTAGTTACTTATTTATGGTGACATAAATAGATCATATTATGGACATGTGTGTGAGGAGCCGAGTTGTTGTCCATAGTCCAATGAGATATCCCTTTGTGTAATACATGTCCAAACCTGTAAAACTTCACAAATTCTCTTCCTTTGGTAATATGTATCTTAACAGTTAATATGCAAATCTTGATGTGTCCATATAATAGTTGCTATTCATCACCACGGGCGAGGTGGCTGTAGATTCGTGGGGTCCATTAGTTTGTTCGGTAGCAGGATGTTGGTTTAGACGATACATGGTGGCACGGGGGTAGAGTTGATGAGAGTGGAGTTTGAATCATGATGCACTTTTAAGAACTTATCATGGTTGTTTTGATAAGTATCCGTGCATCGTGTATATGCATGTGTTAGGGAGGAAAAAAACACAATGTGTTTGATGGAAAGGCATAGTGTAACTAAGTCTATTAAGAAAAGCTAAATACTAGCTCTAATATATCAAATTAGCTCACTGAATTCATTAGTCATATTAGTTTGCTGCTTCTGTTTTCTTGGGATGCCAGTTTTAGTTATCCCGGATCTGAATGTGCTATGAATTAAGCATGTACAAGTTTCGAGAGTGAATAAGCTAAGACTGCTAATATCATTGCTTAAAATGTAGAATGCTCCAGGACAGGACTTGTCTCATTTTCATAATTGGTTTTCGACGAGACACTAATCATTTTTAGTTGGCGGAAATTCCAGATAAAACCTTTTTGTAGGAATTTATTTATTGAGGAATGATGCTGGATATATAAGCAACTGACACTGGCTACCTGTTGGTCCCTCAGAATTAGCTGATAGTGGTGGTTATGTTTATTTTTTTTTTCTTTCATTTTTTTGTTGATTCCTAGATGCTTTTTGTTGTACTAAATTACGCCTTTGTATTTTTTTTTTTTTTTTTTGGTTTATAAGCAGCTTGTTCCCTTTTGGGTCCTTTTTTTTTTTTTTTTTTTTTTGGTTTATAAGCAGCTTGTTCCCTTTTGGGTCCAATATCACGATTTGTGTATCTTTGAATATCTGGGGAAAGATAATTTTACCTCTTTTAAATGTTAGAAATGGTTCCCTCTTGTCTCAGTGCAGATATTGAGTTAAAAATGAGGTACCTGCTTCTGGTTAATTGGCAATATGTGCACTATACATTTTAGTGCTTCTTTTACATAATACGTTAAATTGTTAACACAATTTATGTGTCCTAGTGTATTTCACTGTAGAATTAAATGATACTGAAATCAGTCTGTTTTCTCCATCATACAATGCAATAATAGAATTATATATTTCCACTCATCTTTTTTTCATTTTTTGGGTATCTATTTTTTTGTTACAGGTAATCTAGGAGGTGGTGCAGATCTTAAAATCTTTGACTTTTCTAGTAAAAACAGACATTCTCGGTTAATCCCAGCTTGTAAACTAAAGTGCAGCAGACTAGAGTCATTTTCTGGGTTAAAAGGAGTATCGATTGTCCGTGGACCCGTGCACGTAAATGGGGTTAATAGGAAATCTCAGAGACTTACAAATCATGTTGCTGTTAGCTGCTTATCAAATACAAGTATGCCCTTTTCTTGGTGTATATACTGCTTCGTTATTCTGTAAGTTCTAAATCTCAAATTTGTTCAAGTATAAAAGTAGATCAGTGAAAATGTTCTAATGTATCGACAACTTCGTTAAGCTTCATTACTTTGTAGACATTATTAGAGTTTCATAAACTTTATGGTAGATTATAACCTTATCAATTTCATAGTTCAGATGAAAAGCATTGACATAGAGATATAAGATTTAATTGTGTATAGTCATGATATATCTATGTATACTGTGCTTCTGCAATTTTTCGTATCCACACATCCCAAAGAATTGTGTTCAAGGAGTATGGTTGGTGACTTTTGATACTATCCCCAATATAACCGACAAGGTTTTGCATATTTTCAGACAGGTAGCTTCCAAAAAACTTAAGTCACATCCTTTGTACACTGAAATATTTACAACACCTATATATGCTTGTAAAATAACTGCATATCTTTTGAGCATGGATTTTTGTTGTATTATTATCTGCTGATCCTGCCAGTTATTTCATTACCTCATCTCAATATCCTTTTATTGTGTTGCTTTCGGTTGGGAAATGTTTTTTTTCTGTTGTAAGCTAAATCCTTTGAGCATTTCTCAATGTAATGATCAGATTTCGATGTAATAGCTAGTTCTTCATGATATTTAGTTTACTGATTACTTTACCATAACACATTGATACTTGTTTTGCAACAGAAGAAAGTGATATGGAGAATGCAAACGTGGAAGAACAGTCAACTACTAAGGACCAAATCTTCCCTGGTTCATTCAAGGTTAGAGATTACTCCTGTAGTCCAAAGCAGGAAGAAAATAATAAAGAAATATTGCCTTAAATTATATGATGTTTCAAATTTGTCTAACAGAAGCGCCAACTTATGGTAATAATTTAACCATTTTTATTTAAAGCAATTATTTCTGTAGATAATAAATTGTTTCTACTTATGCTAGTGTTTTTGAACAATCTGTGGTTACACTCAAGACCCATCTTGATTTTCACAGGTTCATTCCTTGCTCACAGCCATCTGTGACACAACTTCCATTGCCGAGGTCGAACTAAAGGTAACGCATCAAGATCTTTTTTCATAAAGAAGTCCTTAAATATATTAGGCTAGTTATGCAGAATCCTGTGGTTGAGTTTAATTTTTGCAGATAGACCCCATGAGTGAATTTTTTACGACTCTTTTACCCTCAAGGGGTCTATTGGTCAAAAAACATTTTTTTCTTCTCAGGGTAAAAGAGTAAAAGAATTTCACTCGGGGTCTGTCTGCAAAAATAAAACTAGAGGGGTAGTAAGCTCAAAACAGCAGTACTGCAAGGGGTCTACCCGCAATGAAATCTTTCTTACTTTACCCAATCTGTTATTCATTCCTAAAATTCTGCATGTTGCTTCTATGACTAGATTGGTGGCTTTCGGGTGTATGTCAAAAGGGACTTGGCTGATAAAAGTATTCCAGCACCTGCTCCAAATCTGCCCATACAACCAACCAACACCCCAATTCAAGCTTCTGATTCAAATGGGTCTACTGCTGCAACTTCCTTAAACATCTCCAAGCCAAAACAACTAAGCATTCTTGAAAGAGCATCTGATGAAGGCTTGGTTATCCTTCAATCACCAAAGGTTCTCTTCTGCTTCTCCCTCTCTTTGGGAGTGAGTGTGGATTTTGACTTATATTGTATATCATGCAGGTTGGATTCTTTAGGACATCACGTACCATAAAAGGAAAGAGAGCACCGGTATCTTGTAAAGAGGTGACTGACTTATTTTGTTCATACTTTGGGTGAATATAACTCATAGCTTCTGATTATGCCTGAAGTGGGTCCTGGCCAAACCATTTTTTCATGATTTAAGAGTGTCGAAAAAGTTAAATGGAAGTTAGTGTTTACTTTCGCTGTCTTTTTAGTAAGCAGGAGGAAAAGAAAAGTAGGCTTTCCTTTGTTCTCCATTATCTTTAAGAAAAGGCGTGGGCAAAATAGTTGAATTTTCTTTTTGGATTTTCAAGTCATAGATTGTGTTTCTGATTATTCTTTAATTTCTGACTCTTTTAGTTTTTACTTAAAGCTTAAAGATATTGTATGTCAAAAAAAAATCTCTTAAAGTTACTGTGTATCAATTCCCTATCCTAGAGACAATAAAAGAGAGCTGCATGTGGTCTGGGCGAAATTAATTTTGTGATATAGATTATCAGGCTTGGTTAACCTGTTCAATTAAATCAAAGCTTCACTTTTGATGTTCCTAAAGTTGAAAATTTTAATTGATTACTGGAAAGAGTAAGTTGGAGGTATGTGTATATCCTAATAATGTGACCTTGATTATCATTTATAGCTTAAAAAATGTGTTCTTTTGCTACAATTATATGCAGATTTAACCAATTTTACTTATTTGTTCCCCGTGAGTTTGACTATTACAAACAGCTAAAAGTAGCTACCAACTCTTGCCACATTGGTTTAATAATCTGAAACTGATTATATGATTTATATGTCTTTCCTTTATTACATCTAGTATTTGTTTTACCAAATTTTGTTCTGCTGAGCTGCTGGAATGTTTTTGTTCTGCTGAACTGCTGGAACGAGCAAAAATACTAGAATATACAGAAATAATTGCCCAAGCTAAAAGCCTAAAACTATACCGATGATAGATTTTCTGTTTGGTTGCCCTATTTGATCTAAAGAGCATCTTTCTGTTGCTCAGTTGTGTGGGTTTTAGACCACGTGAGCAACTCACAAGAAATAAAAAAAGGACAATTGGATTCCTTATCTGAACCCTTATATTTATATGCTGTTTCCATCTATATACTCTTGACAGAAACAAGAAGTCAAAGAGGGCCAAGTTCTTTGCTACGTCGAACAATTAGGTGGCGAGATTCCTATCGAGGTAAATTTCATCATTTCCAAATGTGTGAAGTTTTTGTTATTTTTCAACCATACTTTCTTGTTTAACAAGTCCTTAACCATTTCAGTCTGATGTTTCTGGAGAGGTTATCAAGATATTAAGAACTGATGGAGGTAAGAATTTAGTCATTTCTTTTTTATGGACATGATGCCCCCTCGTTTGTTCTACTAACTTTGCAATTTCCTACAGAACCTGTTGGTTATGGTGATGCTCTTATAGCAATTCTTCCATCATTTCCTGGAATCAAGAAGCTTCAGTAGGTATGACCGAATCCCTTTGCGTTTCTCTTACAGTGCTTCTTTTCAAATAGGCATCTCATCTGTAGTTAAGGATAAAGTTTCACAAAATCCCCCTAACTTTGTAATCATAAGTTATTTGGTGATTATATGAAAATGTCCTGCAAATGCTACTTTCTGTATCTGTTTTTGCCTATAAAAGACAGCATCTACCATGCTAAAAAGAGAAGATAATTAGATTATGCTTATGTCAGAAACTTAATTACTAGGGTTAGGGTGGACTTGGAAGAGCTTAGAGTCCCTCAATCTTCTTTGATGGCTAATTACTTTGAGCAGAAGAAGATTCATGCACAAATGTTAGAGTGTCGGAGTTGGGTTGGCTCCTTCAACGATCAAGTTAGTGATGATCTTAGGGGAAAATATGTGAAAGTAGTTTTTTAGATATTTTTGTCATATAGAACAACGTATTTTTATGCAAAAGATAATCTGCATATTTATAGTGAGCCGAAAAGGGTATTTGGGTTTGGGTAACTTCAGTTGGGTCCATACAGTTGGCTTAGTCAACCGACAATTTGCATGCGTCAGCAGTGGTTTGGGTAACTTCAGTTGGGTCCATGTAGTCGGCTTAGCTAGCCGACATGGAAATGCCAGATGTGCCATGTTAACTTAGCCTAAATTCCCACGCAAAGCAAGATTTAACACTTTCCTTTATTAAGATAATTCCATAAAGTTTTAATCTTCTGGGGATGTTTATGAATACTTGTCATTCTATTGGAGGGGAATTAACAAGTTCTTGAGGGTTTGACTGTTATAATAACAAAAATTTATGGACCTATCATCCCATTGAAGAGGATTGATAAGTTAACATTGTCAGAGATATAATATTAACTCGACAGGGTTGAATACTTATGGTTTGATCAAGACTTTGAGGACCTATCGCTATATTGAAGAGAGTCGATAAGTTGATTTTGTCAGAAGTGCGATATTAGCTGGACAAAATTGGGTACTTGTGATTTGAACAAGATTTTGGAGACCCATCGCTCTATTGAAGAGAGCTGATAAGTTGATTTTGTCAGAAGTGCGATATTAGCTAGACAAAATTGGGTAGTTGTGGTTTGGACAAGATTTTAAGGACTTGTGACTTGAACAAGTTTTTTGAGGACTTAGCGTCTCGCTGGGGAAGACTCATTATGACTTCGACGGTGGAGTAGTGATGGATCTAGCTATGCATTTAATGCGACCGTGACTAGTTAACGTCGCTTGGAAAGACGAAGCAGATAAGTTCTCCTGGTGGTTCAAGATGCGTCACTGGGTCGGAGTGGAGACGCCTTTTGTCTCAGTCATTTGAGAGAGCCCGAGTGAGGACGCCTTTTGTCTCGAGCTTTTGAGAGAAAGCCTGGGCGAGGACACCTTTTCCTTGAGAAGGTTTGAGTGAGGACGCATTTCTCCTTGAGTCTTAAAGTGCTTTAAGGAGGAGAGTCGACATTCGTGAGACCCGGGTTGGGTTGGTGTTATGGTGCTTAAGTTGGCTAATCGAGATACCTGACGTCCTCTCAAAAATAGTTTACACTTCGCAATGCAAATTCTGTGATATAACATATTACATATTCTATTAAATTGTGGATAGTATGTTACATTATTTAGTTACCGTGTTGTAATCTTCAAATATGTTGTTGTAGTACAATGAACAGATTAATATTGTCAAGTATATAAACCTAGAACAGTTTATGGGTTCCATTATTATGTTGTGAGCTACATTTCTCTTTGTAGTGCAATTCTAATGAGGGGAGTGAACTGGCAAGCGCACAAAAGATAAAAAAAAAAAAGAAAATACTTGTTCTTTTAGTGATATATTTTGTGGTTCCATCGAAATATGATTTACTGAGAACCATAAGAGTGTCTTCTATCTGTGTTTATGGCTTGAAATTTTTTAAAGTACATACTAACATTTTAGTCTGGAGCATTGAAATATTTACTTTTTAATGTCCAACAATCCAGTACTAATTTATTATCTTTTACATTTCAGGTGCTTCTAGAGTTGCACAAGATTCTGACTCATGATCGAAAATTGAACTCAATTTAGCGAAATTGTCATATGGATGTAGAGATTTTCTTTTGCATTTTGTTTGTTCATTATTACCTTTTCAAAATAAAAGATTACCAATAAATTGAATTTACTTATATATTTCTTTTATTGCGGTTTTGAAGCATTGAAGGATAGTTCTTTCATATATTGAGGATGGATCCTTTCCAAGAAAAGACATTGAGGATCAATGTTGCAAGAGCTTTTTTTCCTTATGTATTTGGTGATTAAGAAAATGATATTAGGAAAATAAAAAGAAAAAGAAAACAAATGCCAAAAGTCTATTGCCAGTATATGTAGTTTTTGCATTTCATCAGTAGAGATCTTATCATAACTATCTCTATAGGGGTTTATAGGGGTGGGATGATCTACACCATAAATAAGATGGTAACCATTTAACCACCGGAGAATGGTATAAATTACCATTTTTATGGGTATTATGACAGCTTACTCGCATGTCATAGTCATCATTCATCATTGATGCTTATTTTCTCATAAGAAATAAAATAAAATAAAAATTGAGTTCCTCTTCTTAAATAAGTGCTTCCCCATGTAAACTCCAAATATGGTGTGTGTGTGTGTGTTCCCTTTTTTTTTTTTTTTTTTTTTTTAAATTTTATTTACCTTACTCTGGTCTGACTCTTTACAATTAACTCCAAGAAATATTACCTTTTACTCTGTATAAAAAGGAGAAATTTAAATAAAATATTCCAAATATTTTATTCCTGTTCAACAAAACAAAAAATTCATATCAAATTATCTTATGTGTGAGCTAGACCTTAACATAGAGCAATAATAATCTCTAAAAAATCAAAATTTTTTGATTTATTAGCCGCTTTTCAAAACTAATTTCATAAAGCAGTACTTTGGGTTCATAATTATTTAAAAAAAAATTCTCTTTGTTGAAATTGTTTAAAAGTTTTAGTTATAACATCCTGCTTCCTACTTCTTTTGAAGAATGATATACACAGATACAACTGTATATAATGCCGAAATTCTTACCAATTTAATATAAAATATGCTTGCAACAAGATAAAGATTGTGAACTAGTTATTGCCATTTTGAGATGGAATTGTGATTTTTGGAGTTTTCATCTATAGCAAGTCTAAAATTATGCCGTTTGGTTTCTTTTCATATCTGTATTCAAATTTTATTCTATAAAAGGCACCCTAATATCTCCATTAAACATAAAGATTTCAAAAAAAAAAGTTCCCAAAAAAAATTCTTTACCGAAACAATTTTCTTCCAAAATCATCATAACTAGGGTTAAAGAAGCCATTCTACATTGCTTCTTCCCCAAAAATCAAGGCATCAATATCGAAGGTTTGCTACTTCTAATTATGTTCTCAATTATTTCTTTGTTCTATTTTTAAATTTTATAATTTCTCGAAAATCTTATTATACTTTTCTTATCTTTTGAATTTATAGAAGTAGATGAAACAGAAATTTAAGATATGTTCAACTATTATTGATCTTCATTATGGGCACAACATCTGTTCCTCTATTCTGTGATATTTTCAGGGTGTATAGATCAGTATTTGCATAGAAAAAAAAAGACTATTGTTATGAGAATAAAATAAAAAAATATATATGAATTAATGGAATAAAAATCCTCTTATTTACCAAAAAATACCATTTAAGTTTTCACAGTCCAGACGTGTTTTGCCTCAAAAAAATAATCCAATTATGTTCCTTTGCCATCAAGACAAAAAGTAATTAAATACAGGATTAATAGAGCTAACACCCAGGTAAAAGATAATAGTCAACTGCGGAAAATCTTTAAATCCAAACTAATATAGGATATAACGTGTACGGATGCATTAAATTCTTCTTAAAAGTTTTAGTTTAAATTATGTTTCCTAATTCTTTGATAGATAGATGTTTTGAGATAGAATTCAGAACTTAATTTCAAGTTATCACTTGTACGAGTTTTATGATAATATTTAAATTTTTATGAAAATCCAAACCCAACCCCAAATAGAATTTAAATTATATTCCCCCGTCTGTTTCCGTTACCTAATTGCACTCGAATTCAATCTGCATAAAAGGCACCTCCGAATCTTTCATTAAACATAAAGATTTCATAGAATTTCTTCTTCTCAAAAAAAAAAAAAAAAAAAACAGGTTCTCAACAATATCCTAGGTCTGTTACTTTGTGCATTCACGATTATTTTTTTTCTTTGGTTCTAAAATTTTGCAATTTTTATGAGATCATTTCTTGGCTTTTTATATATCGACAGTAGATAGTCACAGTTTTTTTGTTCTTAAGGATCGTTGCAGGTAAAACTCGAAGAATCATGACGAGCAATATTCCTCCGGTCTTCTTCGATCACCAGTTCGAAGAGCCGTGGTTCAACCATCCGATGCAAATGCCAGCGCCGAGCCAAAGCCAAAGCCAAGAAGAGCAATTACACCGTTCGAAAAGACCGAGGTTTTCAAGCTTCCCTCCCGCGGACGTCGTGCCTCAAAACCCTAACCCTAGCGCTAACCCTACCTCGTCGATATTCTTCAAGACGAGACCATGCAAGATGTTCGACCAGGGCCACTGCCCGCACGGGCAAAACTGCACCTTCGCGCACGGGCCTCAGGATCTTCCGCCAGCCGCACAAATGGCGAGAGTTCGTCGCGAGAGACTCGTCGTTCGCTAGGGTTTGCGCAGGCGGGGAGGTGTCTTCGCATGGCGATAGCCCTAGGGTTTTTGGTAGTTTTGGCGGGGGTGGGCATGGCAACGATAAGAGATCGATGTTTTGGAAGACGAGGCTTTGTCACAAGTTTGAGAAGTCCGGGCATTGCACGTATGGAGATGCTTGTCAATATGCTCATGGGTTAGCAGGTAATTAATATATCATCACCCTTCATCTTTATTATTATTATTATTATTATTATTATTATTATTATTATTATTTACTTTCTTGATCAGTGATCCAAAACAGTATCAACTTTCATAATTAAAGTCAAGCTAATTTTAGTTATGAATGATTCTTGCATTTTGTTTAATTACTTCAGTTGTTTTATCAGCTCCTTTCCGTGGCTCAATAAGCAAACTTAATTATCCTGAAGTTTACTAATTTCTTTATCATCAAAAATTGATTTAAAGCCCCTATATTTACTAGTGATTTGGTGATCCTTTTCAGTTACATTTTATTGATGATCTCGCATAATTGAGAAAAAAAAAATCTTTAATATTATTAGTATATTCTTCTTCAAACATTATCTTATGAGACCGAGGCCCATCCTTAATTTATCTTTTAAAAAAACTATTTTATGATGATTTTATTTAAGACACTCTATTTTGTTATATAAAAAAAATAATTTCTTACCTCAAAAAGACGTTAAAAATCTGTACTTTGTATTTTTTTTTACACAGAGCTAAAGAAGCTTGGAGCTGATACGAACACAAGAAGAGCAAGTTTCGAAATAACTCCTTCAAAGTGTCCTCCAGAAGTGGCTC